GTTGATAAAGCTTTACTTTTGGCAACGACAAATTGACATTGGCAAAAAATACACTTCTACCAACACAATATGAGTGGGCAAAAGTAAACTTTTAGCGACACATTTTCGTCGGTAAATGTTGCCATTTGCCAACGATTTGGTTGTTGATAAAGCTTTACTTTTGGCAACGACAAATTGACATTGGCAAAAAATACACTTCTACCAACACAATATGAGTGGGCAAAAGTAAACTTTTAGCGACACATTTTCGTCGGTAAATGTTGCCATTTGCCAACGATTTGGTTGTTGATAAAGCTTTACTTTTGGCAACGACAAATTGACATTGGCAAAAAATACACTTCTACCAACACAATATGAGTGGGCAAAAGTAAACTTTTAGCGACACATTTTCGTCGGTAAATGTTGCCATTTGCCAACGATTTGGTTGTTGATAAAGCTTTACTTTTGGCAACGACAAATTGACATTGGCAAAAAATACACTTCTACCAACACAATATGAGTGGGCAAAAGTAAACTTTTAGCGACACATTTTCGTCGGTAAATGTTGCCATTTGCCAACGATTTGGTTGTTGATAAAGCTTTACTTTTGGCAACGACAAATTGACATTGGCAAAAAATACACTTCTACCAACACAATATGAGTGGGCAAAAGTAAACTTTTAGCGACACATTTTCGTCGGTAAATGTTGCCATTTGCCAACGATTTGGTTGTTGATAAAGCTTTACTTTTGGCAACGACAAATTGACATTGGCAAAAAATACACTTCTACCAACACAATATGAGTGGGCAAAAGTAAACTTTTAGCGACACATTTTCGTCGGTAAATGTTGCCATTTGCCAACGATTTGGTTGTTGATAAAGCTTTACTTTTGGCAACGACAAATTGACATTGGCAAAAAATACACTTCTACCAACACAATATGAGTGGGCAAAAGTAAACTTTTAGCGACACATTTTCGTCGGTAAATGTTGCCATTTGCCAACGATTTGGTTGTTGATAAAGCTTTACTTTTGGCAACGACAAATTGACATTGGCAAAAAATACACTTCTACCAACACAATATGAGTGGGCAAAAGTAAACTTTTAGCGACACATTTTCGTCGGTAAATGTTGCCATTTGCCAACGATTTGGTTGTTGATAAAGCTTTACTTTTGGCAACGACAAATTGACATTGGCAAAAAATACACTTCTACCAACACAATATGAGTGGGCAAAAGTAAACTTTTAGCGACACATTTTCGTCGGTAAATGTTGCCATTTGCCAACGATTTGGTTGTTGATAAAGCTTTACTTTTGGCAACGACAAATTGACATTGGCAAAAAATACACTTCTACCAACACAATATGAGTGGGCAAAAGTAAACTTTTAGCGACACATTTTCGTCGGTAAATGTTGCCATTTGCCAACGATTTGGTTGTTGATAAAGCTTTACTTTTGGCAACGACAAATTGACATTGGCAAAAAATACACTTCTACCAACACAATATGAGTGGGCAAAAGTAAACTTTTAGCGACACATTTTCGTCGGTAAATGTTGCCATTTGCCAACGATTTGGTTGTTGATAAAGCTTTACTTTTGGCAACGACAAATTGACATTGGCAAAAAATACACTTCTACCAACACAATATGAGTGGGCAAAAGTAAACTTTTAGCGACACATTTTCGTCGGTAAATGTTGCCATTTGCCAACGATTTGGTTGTTGATAAAGCTTTACTTTTGGCAACGACAAATTGACATTGGCAAAAAATACACTTCTACCAACACAATATGAGTGGGCAAAAGTAAACTTTTAGCGACACATTTTCGTCGGTAAATGTTGCCATTTGCCAACGATTTGGTTGTTGATAAAGCTTTACTTTTGGCAACGACAAATTGACATTGGCAAAAAATACACTTCTACCAACACAATATGAGTGGGCAAAAGTAAACTTTTAGCGACACATTTTCGTCGGTAAATGTTGCCATTTGCCAACGATTTGGTTGTTGATAAAGCTTTACTTTTGGCAACGACAAATTGACATTGGCAAAAAATACACTTCTACCAACACAATATGAGTGGGCAAAAGTAAACTTTTAGCGACACATTTTCGTCGGTAAATGTTGCCATTTGCCAACGATTTGGTTGTTGATAAAGCTTTACTTTTGGCAACGACAAATTGACATTGGCAAAAAATACACTTCTACCAACACAATATGAGTGGGCAAAAGTAAACTTTTAGCGACACATTTTCGTCGGTAAATGTTGCCATTTGCCAACGATTTGGTTGTTGATAAAGCTTTACTTTTGGCAACGACAAATTGACATTGGCAAAAAATACACTTCTACCAACACAATATGAGTGGGCAAAAGTAAACTTTTAGCGACACATTTTCGTCGGTAAATGTTGCCATTTGCCAACGATTTGGTTGTTGATAAAGCTTTACTTTTGGCAACGACAAATTGACATTGGCAAAAAATACACTTCTACCAACACAATATGAGTGGGCAAAAGTAAACTTTTAGCGACACATTTTCGTCGGTAAATGTTGCCATTTGCCAACGATTTGGTTGTTGATAAAGCTTTACTTTTGGCAAGTTGGGATAACTCGTTGAAATCCGTATTTTAGCCTACTTATGAGTAGCAAATTCCAAAGCGTTTTCCAAACAAACGGATATGCAATGTTTTGTTCTAATTTAGGCGATTTGGTCTATACTTGTTTGCTACGCGCATAACATAGTAATTCTAGGCTAATAAATGGAATAAGAACACATAACATTTTCAAAACTGGATATCATGGTTAGTAGAGGCCGATCTTCGGATCGGGCGAGAGGGGGTGCTCATAGCTGACCTTCCCCAATCGTACCCAAGCTCCCGAGCCGAGGCAACTTTGATTCAGATTTAGAACCGTGACAATTTGAGAGTCCGAACTGTAGTGAGCCCACATACGAACAGAACGGGAGGCCTCGTCCTCCCGAGGCATTCGGGGACGTCTACAGTGTCTTAAATCATTACTTAAGGAATTCAGTAGTTATTCTGATGCAGTCAAGTACGTCATGGATACTTGGTTGGTTCCTTACAAGGACAAATTTGTGGCGGCATGGACAAACATGTGTATGCATTGTGGCAATGTTACAACGAACCGGTAAGATTACTTTTCTTCAATATGCTATTAATAAGTGTCATGTACTTGATTTTAATTTGACTTACATTGAATTGAACAGGGCTGAGAGTGCACATGCAAAACTTAAAAGACAATTGGGTTCATGTCAAGTCTCATTTTAGGCATCATTTGAGAAAATACACAGTCTGCTTGAGTTGCAACACACTGATATCAAGGCTTCATTTGAGAAAAGTCTAACTGTTGTGCAACATCAATTTAAACCTTCTCAGTTCAGGGAGCTACGAGGTAATGTGTCTATCTCTGCATTGGAGTATTTGCTTGTAGAGAGTAAGAGAGCCAATTCCATTGGTATTGATGTTGAAGCTTGTGGATGTGTCCTTCGCCACACTCATGGTTTACCTTGTGCCCATGAGATTGCTGACTACATCAGACAAGATTGTCCTATACCACTTGTTGCCATACACTCACAGTGGAGGCAACTTCATATCTCCGTATGCAACAAAGAAGACGAAACGAAGGTGACTTGTCATGCAGAAGTAGAGTTGTTTGTGAACAAGTTTAATGAAAGTGATAGAACCATGCGGTTGAAGCTTTTAAAGAAGTTAAAAGAGATTGTATATCCGGGAAGCACTTTTCTTGTTGAGCCGAAGGTGAAACCCAAAACACGTCCTCGGGATCATAAGAAGATCAATGTTTCTACCCATTGTGACCTGTGTGTATTTGAGTTGGTGCAATCTGGACATGATTCCTTCTCACCTAGGGACACTCAAATCACTATATTAGCTTCTACTCTGCAAACCAAGAAGAAGCAACCTGTTAAGGGAAATGAGAAGGTGAATCCGAAAGGGAAGGTATACATTACTAGAACAGTGAAACCTGGTGCATATGTTGATGCTTTCCCTTCTGGGTTAAAACCATACATTAAGTTTGTCAAGGATGTAGCTACAGATGGGAATTGTGGTTTCAGGGCTATAGCTGCTTCAATTGGTCATACAGAAGATGATTGGGCTCAGGTTAGGCGTGATCTATTGGGTGAGCTGCACACGCACACAAAGAGGAATACATTACACTTTATGGGTCCTACGAAAGGTTTGAAGAATTGACAAGCATATTGTCATACTTTGAAGACAGTCCTAGATACTCACATTGGATGACTATGCCAGAAATGGGGCATCTTGTTGCATCGTGCTAAAATCTTGTGTTATACCACTTGTCATTATAGCAATGCCTCACCTTTTTACCTCTTAGAACAGTGCCACTACCTCAACTTGATAGACGTGAGATTGCCATTGGGTTTGTCAACGGAAATCATTTCGTCGAGGTATAACAGAAACTTATAAATTGGGTTTGTGCATGTACAAGAAGTTATGAGATATGACCACTGACTCAATTGATATTTGGTGTAGGTTTTGTTGCAGCCAGGCCATCCAGTTCCTCCTATAGCCACTAATTGGTGAAAATAGCATCACCCTTGCGCTGTCGACTAGGATGATGCATATGTGCGTCGCATTCAACATTTCAAGGACATTATTCATGATAATGTAGCTACTCGAGAGACTTTTGATGTTGTTGATGTCGCATGACACATGTATGCATTTGACAATGTTAGAATTATGAAAGAAATTAATGGATGTGTTTTTTATGTTGATGTGTTATGTTTTGCAATATGGATTGAATGTTATCGACTATTGTTACCATTCCATTGTAATAAGAAAATATTATTTACAAAATCAACGACCATTGTTACCATTCCATTCTAATAATAAAATGTCATTACAATACCATTGTTGCCATTCCATTCTAATAAGAAAATATTAACCACTGTTACTATTGCAACAATATCATCTTACAAAAAACACCAAAAAAAATTTATCAACTAACAAAATAACATGTCACGAATCAGCTGTATGCCTACGCATAGGCCTACGACTGTATGTCAATGTCGAAGATGGAAAGCGACCTCCAGTAAAACTAGGTCCAGCTTCGTCAATGTGCTGACCTTGAAGGACATGCGTCATACTCTCGATAGCCTGGTAAAGTCGATAAGGATGTCGAATCCCCTCTTCATAACCAGCATCAGTAATAGGATATGAAATCTGCAGTGCATGTACAATACGTTGCATTTGAAAAGAATATCACATTTTAGGGAACATATCAAAAAATAAAAAGTAAGTTACAAATGCATGAGAGAGGATAATATATTACATCGGCATGTTGGCTGAAATCCTGATGGTCATGGACACGCGGTTCATTAGTGTGCTCAACATATAGGTGCGTGATATTCATATACCAATTCATGTAAATGTAACCCGGTACACATTCCCAAGGCTGATGAACTGGTGTGCTCCTCCGTTGCTCAGATAACACGTGATTATCCCAAGCCTCCCAGATCCTATCCAAGTATCTATACATGACTGTATATCGTGCAGATATGTTGCCTCGAGCACCACGACTGGGAGCTAGCGGTGCATCTGGGATGGTTTGAACCCTGCTAAACTGCCTCAGAACTCTATCGAGATGATAGGGTTCGACAACGTCTAAGCACTTTAAGCATCTATGGTAGAAAGTAACCGGATTACATGGATGCCGGTCTCTGTAGCTGTGGTATGGATCCCAAATAACCTGTAAACGTAAAGTGTTTTTGAATTAAAGTATATAAATGGTAAGATAAATAGAAAGTGTTAAAATTATCTCAGGATGAGTAAACTTACATCAATAGCTACCAAACTGTCAAGCTTGGCTCGAAAAGATTTCAAATGATTAATAGAGGAACCCGCCTCTCTCCTAGATGCCCAATGGTACACGTGTGTCATGTCTTCATTGTAGCCCATGTTCTGGTGAGGTCGGAATGTTCGGAAGTGCTTATAAATCCACGCCTCCAAAAGAGTCATATAACCACCCATCTGCTTAACCCCGGACTGGCTAGCATACCCTAACTGTCTGTATAAAAATGCTAATGCAGTAGCACCCCAGGCGTAAGTATCAATGGATCCCAAATCCATCAATAAGCCAAGGTAAACAACAGGAACCCTGCCGCCACTCTTGTCACTGAAGAGTGTACATCCCAACAGAAACAACAAATAAGCTCTAGCAGTGCACTGTATAGCCTCCTTGGGGTCTGAATTTGTGACACCAGCAAACTGACTTTGCAACCACTCAAGCCTGATTGAATTGCCACCAGCAGAAGAAACCTCTTCATGTGCTGCATGTTCAGTAATCCCCAAGCCATACACCAGTAGTGTAACTCCATGATGATCTGTCACATCTGGTACGCTGACTGATTTGTCTACAATGGGAAGGCCAAGAATAGTGCCAACATCATCCAGGGTCAAGGTCATCTCACCAACTGTCATGTGAAATGTGTTCGTCTCAGGTTGCCATCTCTCAACAAAACTGGAGATTAGAAGCTTGTTGACGAATCGATAAGTGCAACGAGCTAACTATGACAGCCCAGACTGCTCAATAATGGCTTTGAATCTGGTGTTGTTGTCTACTGACCACCATGGCCATGCAAGGATCTTTGAAGAGTGATTATGACACTTTAGGGGCCCTCGTTCCTATAACACAAAAAATATCTCATTAGAAACTACCATACAACACACATAGGAAAAAAAAATTTAAAACAAATAAATTTCACTTCTACTCAGGAATGTTTACCTCCCCGTGCCAAAAGTTGCCGCGACATGACTATTGAAACTCCGCAGTATTGATGGATCAGTCGGTCCACCTGGAAAAGCATGAGTAAGGTCCTCTTCTTGGAGAGGAGGAGAATCAGGTAAAGAGGCATCCTCCACAGCAATGTCAGGCATATCATAACCTTGAACTGGTCTTTGGCTTCGGCTCCGACTTTGACTGGCACTGGGGATATCATATTCTACCGAAACTGGATCATGACCTCGACCACGACCACGACCACGACCTTGACCTCGTTCTCGCCCACGCCCTCGTCCCCGTTCATGGTCTACATCCAATTCACGACGTCGTCTATTTGAAGTAGTAGGTGGGACACGTTGTTGACATTCAGAATCTATATTATCTGCAAAAAATAATAAGTGTGTGTACTGAGTATGTGTAAATAAAGAATGGCCATGCAAACAAGTGTGTAAATAAAGAGAGTGTGTGTAAAATTAATGAGAGTGTGTGTAAAATTATAATAAGTGTGTGTAATGAGTGTGTGTAAAAAGAGTGTGTGTAAAATTAATGAGAGTGTGTGTAAAATTATAATAACTGTGTGTAATGAGAGTGTGTGTAAAATTATAGTAAGTGTTTATTCAAGTGAAATTACTAATAAGTGTTTAACAAAATTATAATATGTGTGTGTAAATTATAATAAGTGTGTTTATTAAGTGTGTGTAAAGAGGGGAATGTGGAAATATAAGCTCCCTTCAAACAACAACATACAACAGAAGGGGAAAGAAAAAAAAAAAAAAAACCTGTTCGGAAGTTCACAGCCGAAAATACATATTCTGTTCGGAAGTTCAAATCCGAAACACAAAAATAATTTCGGAAGTTGAGTGTTGTCTAAATTCAAATTTTTTGGAAGTTGACTATCGAAACAATGACACATTTTCGGAAATCTACTGATGAAATTATTGATTATTTTCAAATTTCTACGTCCGAACAAATTGTTATATTTCGGGAAATCAGTTTCGAATGACGGTTTCAAATGAAAACATCTACATTACAAGTGAAAAACTCTACATTACAAATGAAAAACTCTACATTACAAATGAACATGGGGTATGCTAGCCGTTGGGAGCTATTTGGCAAATGAAAAAAAAATTAAAATTGGTGAAAAAATTTACCCCACAACCGAAAATACATATTCTGTTCGGAAGTTGAGTGTTGTCCAAATTCAAATTTTTCAGAAGTTGACTATCGAAACAATGACACATTTTCGGAAATCTACTGATGAAATTATTGATTATTTTCGAATTTCTACGTCCGAACAAATTGTTATATTTCGGGAAATCAGTTTCGAATGACGGTTTCAAATGAAAACATCTACATTACAAGTGAAAAACTCTACATTACAAATGAAAAACTGTACATTACAAATGAACATGGGGTATGCTAGCCGTTGGGAGCTATTTGGCAAATGAAAAAAAAAATTAAAGATTGGTGAAAAAAGTTACCCCAACTGTGTGAAGTAGGGAGGTATTTGCACCGTTGGGAGAGCAATGTGAGGGATGCAGCGCAGCTTCAATGGGTGTATTTGCACCGTTAGGAGAGCAATGTGAGAGATGTAGCTTCAATAGGTGTGCACCGTCGGGAGAGCTGGGTTTGAGGGTGTGTGTGCTTCTGTGTGTGTGTGTGAGAGTGTAAGGATAGATGTGGAATCAAATGTGTGTGCAATGAGTAAAAGAATTAGGAATTATTTTTTTGGGTGTGTGTAGTGAGAAGGATGTGCAAAGAGGGAATTTGATGTGTGTAGATAGAAGCTCCCAATCAAAACGACTTCGTAAGCTCAATTTTAATGATTGGACCATTCTACCCCTCAACTTTCTCAAAACTTCTCGACCGTAGATTTTCATCTGATCAAAACAAATCTCTGACTGGGTCCCAATGCTCTCATCCACAGCAGATCTTATCCATCTCTCTCTCTCTCTCTCTCTCTCTCTCTTTCTGTGCGAGCGTCCATGGCTTGTTTCTCTGCAAATCAGCTCTACTCTCTTTCATGGAGGTTCTCTGTTAAACCTAGACCACAAAACCCCAACTGCACTCGCTCATGGTTCGTTAACTGTAGAAATCGGACTCTCAGCCCTTTATCCAATTCCAATCGCAGGCCTTCACGAGCTTCTCTTGATTCTACGTGTGTTGGAATCGAAGCTGATATCTCAGAGAGGGCTTCGACTATCCGAGAACTCTGTGAAGATCACATTCCAGATCATATATTGAGCAGGCGAGTTTTCTTTCATTTTCCTTTTTTTCTGGGAATTTAATGGTTCTGTTTGGTTCCAGAGAAAATAGGGGAAAGGAAAAGGGAAAGCAATATGAGCTCTTTCTTCTATTTTTTAATTACTAATCAAGTTTTGTTCTTGGTTTGCTAATCTAAACAGTTGAAACACAAGGCTCAGTTTGGTTAGGATGAAAATGGTAGAGAGTGAAAGAAATGGTTTTTTTTTTTTTTTTTTTCTTCTAAGTTTGGTTAGCATAAGTTTGTTTAGGATGAAAGTGGTAGAAATTATAAGAAAATTAATTTTCTTGTACAATTCAGCGTAATAGCATGGTGAGTTTTCAGTTTCTTGCAAAAAAATACAGGAAAATATAAAAAAAATTTAAATTTGTTATAGAAGCAGTTACTTATAATTAGAATTCCTATTTTCTTATAAAATTTGTATCTTAATCAAATTCATATGAGAAAAATATATTTTCTTTTCCTTTTCAGAGAGAGAGAGAGAGAGAGAGAGAGAGAGAGAGAGGGTAAAGCAATCATACCTCTTCTGATTTTCAATAGCTAATTAAGGTTTGCTCTATATTTGCTAATCAAAACAATTGAACTATGAGATCTGAGTGTAACAATGTTCCTTTTCTACTAGTTCTCTTACTTGCTCAATAACCAAACTTAGTGTAATCAAATATTTTTCTTTTTCTTTTCTCATTTAACTGATTAGTATTGAAGTAGAATGATGAATATATAGACCAATGATTGGTTTAAAAGCAAGTTTTGGCTTTATGGTTTTCTGGATTGCTTTTGTTTTCTTTGTTTTGTGTGATATGATTGACACACTAGGATTGCAGAAATGTACAATACAAGTCTTTGTGAAATGTGCTGAAAATGGATCGTATGAAAGATACTGATCAGAGTTGGTTTAACTTGATGCAGGGTGGAAGAGGTTGTGTTTGTTGTGCCTACAGATGTGCAGCAGAAAGCTTTGCCGATTATGCTTTCTGGGCGTGATTGCATACTTCACGCTCAGGTTAATTTGTGCTTCAAGTTACATTCACAAACTTTCTATCTGTCAAATTAGCTTGCCATCTTACAGACAGACTCATGCTTGGCCTAATATTGTAAATCCCATTTTTTGGATGCACTGGATCACATATAAAAAATATACCATAGTTAGTTACTTTCAAACTTGTCTTCCGTCAGTAATCTTTTGCTGAAAGGAATATAATGACACACATGGTTAATGAAATCAATAAGATTTGATGTACATGATTGATTGCAATCTGATGGATTGGTTATATATTGGTTATGGTTTTCATATGTATGTTCTTAAATGAAAAATAAAGTTGTTGCTCTTTCTGACTCTGTAGCAGTGACAAGCTAATGTAGTTGGTTTTTTTTTTTTTTTCCTTTTTTTCTGATTTGGCCCTGTAGACAGGTTCTGGGAAGACCCTGGCATACCTGCTATCAATTTTTGCAGTTGTAAACACTCAAAGATCATCAGTGCAAGCACTTATTGTGGTGCCCACTAGGGAACTTGGCATGCAAGTATGAATATTGATGATCACTTCTACAAATTTTTTTTTTCTTTTTCTCAAGTTAAAAAATTTATATATGACTTGATTACCAGGGCTATGATATGAGTTATTCTGATATTGTAATGTTTTGATAAACATGATTACAAAAGTTGCTCGTATGCTGGCTGCAAAACCTGCTGAATTTGGAGAGGAGGCATGTTGTGTTATGGCTCTTCTAGATGGTGGAATGCTGAGAAGACATAAAAGGTGGTTGAAGGTATCATGTTGATTTGTATGATCTTACAAATGCTTTTTTTTTTTTGGTTGTACCTTTCACGCAATAGAATTTTGGTAAGAAATTTTATTTATAACTTGCTCTTATTGTCAGGTGGAGCCCCCTACAATAGTGGTTGCAACTTTGGGGAGTTTGTGTCAAATGATTGATAAGAAAATTATTAAGCTAGATTCAATGCAGGTGTTGATAATTGACGAGGTAATAAGTGAAATATAATTTACTCTATTTGTTTCTTACTTGGCTTTTTTTCTTGGGATTGCCGTCTTTTGGTTGTACGTTTCCCGCATTAGAATTTTGATAAGAAAATTTATTTATAACTTGCTCTTATTGTCAGGTGGAGCCCCCTACAATAGTGGTTGCAACTTTGGGGAGTTTGTGTCAAATGATTGATAAGAAAATTCTTAAGCTAGATTCAATGCAGGTGTTGGTAATTGACGAGGTAATAAGTGAAATATAATTTACTCTATTTGTTTCTTACTTGGCTTTTTTTCTTGGGATTGCCTTCTTTTCGGCCAAAGATTTTAAAGTTTAGCTTCCATATGGCAGGCAAGACCCCATTAAAAATGGGCGATTGGGTTTTGCTTAAATTGTTAATGTGCATGTATGTTGATATATAGAATACATATATTCAGCATTTGCTAGTGACAACAT